TGAGAATCGAGGCGCTGATATACTGAAAATGATAGATAAGTCTTGTCTTATTAGACAGACTATCCTTGATCTTGACATGACTGGCCTGAATATTCATATAACTGAATAACCGTGACTTGACATGACTGGATCATATTTGTCTAAACGCTGAAAGCTACCCCGAGACAACTTAATAGTCGCTTCGGAATTTGGAACATGACATTTACTGATTTACTTAACTTGATAAGGTGCGACTTCAAGTTTCCAGGTAAATTTGGACTAATGGTCTGTATATCAGACCGCCACATTTAACCCGGTTGAACAACTATTATACGTCGACCTTACATCATGAATATAGACTGTAAATCGTGAACATGAATTTATGACTCTGTACTGTATAGGGCTGTTCCAGTATCACTGGTCCCGCAAGTACAAAGTAATTAGCTGATCTTGATCTTTGGAAACCATAACTTAAAATATCAAGACTGATAAAATACCTGACATGACTGACTTGAAAGGTTGTTATTTCATGGAATCATACTGCTCCGGTTTCAGCTTCAAGCCTCCATGGTCTACCCGGCTGAATGGCTATTATTTCAAGCCTCCATGGTAACCCGGACTATTGACTCTTATACACTGGAAACCGTTACCTTAACAATGATTTGAGAATTATAACAACCTTTAACATGAAAATTCTTGCTTTGAACATGATTTACTGATCTGACTTAGGAAATTTGAGTCTTCCTTGAATTAAATCAAGGAATTTCTCCCTGAAGTCTGCCAATTGATTGACAAAATGGCAGTTCTCGATAAAAATATCTGAGAAACATGATTATTAAGATTTGTTTAGCATAAGTGCTTACAAATCTCCTGACAAGTTGCTAACTTGACTTGAGTAAATCTAGAATTGAATCTAGAGTTCTTAAACTTAATCCCTTTCTAAAGTTCTGAATCCACTCGTCCACGATACGGGAATCTCTCTGCCCGGAAAATTTCTCAGCATGATAGTCGCGGAACTGTGCGGCTACTATGACCTGAGTAAGAGCCGGGTAATCGGGTTCCCTACGGGGCGACATCTGAACATTAAGAAAGTTCGGAATTATCGAACACTTGATAATATTCTGACTGATTGCTAAGGCACACAAATCTCTTGACGAGTTGCCAAAAACGACCGATAATTACTGACATGAATCCTGAGGAACTCTAGAGTCATATCGGAATGCCCTGAATTCTAGAGTCATGTCCGAACTCTAAAGTCTGAATCTGATTCGAGCATCTTAACTAAAGTCCTTATCCATAATTCTGAGCATAGACAAAGTAATATGTTTATAACTGAAAACATAAATCAGCACTTACCTGTCGTCGGCGGGGCGTGAGCATGACGGTTCAGGTTTTTCTGAAAATTACTGTCTGAAAAACTTTTTCAGAGACGCAGAAACGTGCTCTGATACCAATTGTAACACCCCTCCTTATCGTTAAAATCAGAGTGCGAAAATTTCGCAAAGTTATTTAAAAATAAAACCTTTTACTTTGCGAAAACTGATTCGGGGTGCTACCTTGAAAAAACGTGACTTAATTTGGAAAACCGTTATTAAATTTTTTAATAAAATCATACTGATACTGAATGCATAATATTTCCAAAAGTCCGTCAAAATATAAGTTCGTCAAAAGTCATCATCAGCGGAAACGTAAATCATCATAATATATACACAGGCAAAATATAAAAGTCCTGAAGCCTTCGTCATCTCACGCTCCCTGCCCGACATCCTGACCTGAAAAACATGATAAAAGTGGGAAATGAGCACTATGGCACTGTGCTCCGTGG